TACCCCCTCTGGTCATGGGCTTCATCTGGTCAAGATGAAGTAAATGAGTCTTCCTCCTGTGGGTAGGAGTCTTCAAGATGAAGTAAATGAGTCTTCCTTTTCTTGAATTTTCCACCTTTTAGTTTTCACATATGGCCTTAGGGTTTGGTCGGTGTCCCAGCCATAAACCATCTGCTTCTCCCCCTTCAGGTGTCTGCTTTTCCTTATCAATAGCTGCTTATCAGTAGAATCAGGCCTCTGCTTTTCCTTGTCAATAGAACCAGGTGTCTGCTTTTCCTTATCAATAGTTAGTGCCTTTGTTCTGCTTAGTAGGCATGATAGGTACAGAAAATACTTTTGTTTAAGCAAGCGAATTCCTCAAACCCCCTTGTACAACCCCCCTGTACATTGGTTAACCTTGTATCAAATGGAAGGAAAGCTATGCAAAACTGCCACTCATTTTCTGTGTTGCTCCCTTTTAAGGGATTGTAGTGAGTAAAATTAGTGTACTTTGGAAGCAGTATTGAGTATTTGGCTCCAGAATTTGATTGCTGGTGGAGTGGGAGCTTCCCTCTTGTAAACCACCCAAAAGGTACCTGGAACTGAAGAGTGCATTTATAACCTCACTCCTGTTCTTCCTCCATTCTGTCTTTTTCAAAACAGGAGATCTGGTTCAGAAAATAACCAGTTTCTCAGGAAACACATGAAATCAACCTAGTGCTTTTTCCCATGCGATCTGTAACCTCATGTGTGGGTTAGTAGTGAAAATACTCATGAAAAGTAGTTTTGTTTTGTTTTTTTTAAAAAGTGATCCTTATTCCTTTAGAAAAAATAAAAGGCAAAATTATGTGATTTTAGCCCTGCATGTTACTTGTAATGGATGTTATGCTGCTAAAAGATGAAAATATTAGTAGCCAGTTTAAAGTAGTCATTTAAGAGCACAAGGTAAATGGCTTGTTGCTTCTAGAGCTGAGGACGGGTAATTAAAAATCAAGTGCTTTCTGTTCCTTTGCTTTAGAAAGCCTAGTTCTGTAATGGGAGCAAAACACAAAGCCCTTTTATAAAGAGGAGTAAAGTTCCTACTGCTCTGTGTTTGTTTCTAAGGCTGGGTGTTGACAGTGAAGCTGAGTTGCTGCTGAGCTCTTTCTTTTCAAGTGTTGACCAGAACAGCATCATTCTGCCGTGAGTTCTTAGAATACAGGCGAGCACAACAAATTTTTGCTTAAGCAGGTTCAGTTACATTCAGAGCTCATTGCTTGCTTTACAGAACTTCCTGTGGTGCACGTTCCTGGTTCAGAGTAACTAAGACGGTTTTACCTGCAGGGAAAGAGGCAGGAACTGCTTGCAACAGACTGAGAATGTATGTGCAGGCTATTACTGTGCTGTGCATTCACACCATCTTGTCCATGTGTTTATCTTGCAAGAAAACCAGTGAACATTCTCTGCAATTATGCTTGCAGGTAGCTTGTAATGTTTAGAGTCTTTCCCCAGTTAGGGGGAGCTTTGACCATGTGTTTTTCTCTCTGGGTGTTGAGAGAAAAATTCTCAATACTGTTTCTGATGAGCATCTTCTACTTGCTAATGATTCCAAATCCAGGTCAATATTCAGATCTTAAAAATCAGGCTTTTCAGTGTACAGACTGCCTGATGGGAGGAGTTACAAAGGCAAAAAATACACAATAGAAGCGGTAAGAAGGGATGTCAGGAAGAGGCGTTATTTTAACTCTATGTTCTTCTTTCTTGAAGGCAATTACAGAGATTTCACAGAATAATAAACTTTTTTTTTTCTGTAGACTCTCTTTAGGATAACAAACACCTGAGAAACACATATCAGGGTTTGTAGTTATTACAATGTGAATGCATTACTACAGTTTGTGTATAGTTCTGGTTATTTTTTCAGGCAGATAGGGTCTTTATCTCTGATACTATTTGGCTCCTTGATTACAGAAAAAGAACAGCCAGCCTGATATGTTAAGAAGCTAACGGCTGCATAATATGAATAATAGTGTATCCATGGATATTTACACCTAGTGCCAGATTGACAGCTTGCCTCTGCCATGGTGAAGAAAAGCCAGTTTTGTGCATGGGAAGGCAACTTGGTTTCTGTCGTGAAATGCTAACAAAGAGCTTTTATGCTGTGAACTTGCATCTGTTGAACTGAAAACACTGACTAGTTTTATCAGGTTGCTGGTTTTTTTTTCCACACTTGTTATTCATTGTCACTGTTCTCTTTAAATACATCTAGTCTGAGAATAAAATGTGTTTGGTTTGTAATGGTGCTCTATATGTTAATGAATGTAATTGGTTATACAGAAGAAATTTGTTCAGTTTGACAGCTGAGCTGGCTTTTGGATGAGGCTTTCAGTAAAGGTTGTATCTCATACCCTACAGGTATAAATAATCCTTTGTGAGAATCAGGCTGTGGAGGCATGACCTCCTGCAGGCTGCAGCGTGTGATCAAATGTTAAGATACACACATTAACATTAAAGAACTTGTAAGAAAGAGGTGCTCGTATTCTGTATATTGTCATCTTAACATGCAGCTATGATCTATGCAGAAAACCAAAACTTTTGGCATTTTAAGCTATTTGAGACACCATGGATTACTGAAAGGAAACAAGTTTCTTCCTCAGCTCAAAGTGAAGTTCCATTACTGCAGGTGACCTGTAACAGTATAGGGAGGAGGTGCTTAGAGACAAAGTGTAAGAGGAAATCACTTGACTGGAAGGTAGGGATTAATCAGGGAGTGAATTTGGAGAATATGAAAGATGATATACTTGCTTTCCCAACAGTGGAAAACCAATTTTCTGATGTAAATTATACTTTTGCTTCACAGGTACATGTAAAGTGAATTTTCCTGACCCAAACAAGCTTCATTACTTTCAGCTAACTGTAACCCCAGGTAATTTTTTTAAACATTACTTTTGGTTTTGAGTGTGCTCGTGTTAAGGAAACATTATTCCAAGAGTTTGCTCAAGAATCCAGTAAACTTTCTAGTCAAAGACTGGCTGTAATACAGTGGTTATATAGAGGCAGTGGAGAAACTGGGCTGGATTTTGGGTAGTAGATGCCAATAAAAAGGCCATCAAAACTGAGCAGGTTTAGGAAATAATCAGGTCTTGTTTGTTCACTTTGAATTGTTTTTTTTTTTTCCTCTTGGTTGATTTCAGACCACCTTGCTTTATTTGCACCACATCTAGATAAATTGCCGTACTACAACCCTGTTACAAATTTATTCTTTTCTTACTGGTTGCTTGACTCTGAAGAGGTAAAGAGATAGATGACAGATATAACGCTGCTGGAAAACTTCACGTCTATGCATGTCTGATGATGCTTAACAAGTAGGAGCCTCTTAGTCTTTGAATACTGAAATATGTGGAAATATCTTTTATTATTAATGCAACTTAAGCACACTGTGAAGCTTCAGGCATGCTGTTCAGTAAAAATGTTTTCAGAATTTACTATTTCCACATAAGCTTCTGAAATGGCTCACATAGCTGTCCATTTTAGGATAGAAAGTTGTGCTTGTGTTTTATGGATGAATTTCATGGAAGATCATTTAAACTTCGTTTTCACTTATTTTTACTGTGTTTTGCCTTTGGGACTCTGCAAATACTTAAATAAGAACATGGACACGTACAGTACACTGAATTGAGTTAGATGTGTCGGGATCAATATGTCTCTGCCAACTGATTCTTGTAGAGGCACATTTTCAACAGAATTCCAATACAGTATGGCAGTCATCCTGGTGTTTTACCTATAGAAACAAGATTTACCCTTCAAAGGGTAGTATGTTTCTCATAATCCAGTATCTTGAAGTCAAATGAGCACTAGATGTCACTATTGCTGCTTATTATCCAAAATCCACTAGGACTTCCTCAGCAGTGGAGATCGTGGGTGGTCTTTGTTATCATGTCCATTCATGCGACTCCTTTTTGTGATGGGAAAATGAGCAAGACTGCCCTAGTCACTGTAAATAAAGAATAAATGCAGGTGTTGTTACACGACTTTTAACATCTCATTCTGTGTAGGAGATGTGTTCATGCTTGCTTGGTGAGTGTTAGTCTTGTCCCAGTTTATGTGATGCTGCTTTATTATGTTTTGCAGAGGAGTCGACTTTACAAGATCATCACTGTGTGAGTTAGGGATGTGAAGCAATGATAGCTTCTTCATACTAATTCTATAATATCTAAATACATAGGTATTTATGTTCTGTTAACTGCTGTGCAGGAAGATGTTGCAGTCAGAAGACAGTAGTTGAATGCAGAGCATGGGTTTTGTGCTAGCTTCCTTGCTGAAATGATCTTGGGAATGATATGATCTTAATTAACATTTTGTTGCTCTAAATATAGCTGCACAGCTGAAGTCTCTGCAGTTGCAGTCTGACCCAAGTAAACATCTATTTTCAGCTGTGCATAATTCAGGTACAGAATCTGGGGATCAGATACAGCTTAGCACAGCTCTCCAAAGGCAAAATGGAACACATACCAAGAAAATCTTTGCAGCTTTCTGATTGCCTTCCTTATTGACGTTTTTCTGTAGAGTATGCTAAATCTTAGTTTTCTTTGGGATAGCAGAGGCAGGTGGGTGGTCATCACAGATTTTTTTTTCTGTCTCAAATGGCCCAAAAATCTTTGCTTGAGCCAACTATTTTTGTAGCGTCTAAACAATGTTGCATGAATCTTGACAGCCCAGAGGAAGATTCTGCTTTCCTCTTGCTTATAAATCTCTCTTGCATTGAGAAACTGAGTTCCTTCTAGAAATCCTGCTCATACATCTGCCTCTTCATGGAGCACTTTGCAAATACCTCTGCAGCTCACGGATCAAGAGCTGTGCTCAGCACAGCTGCGGGTGCCAGGGAATACCTAATGCTGCCTTGCAGTTCCCGTTTAGGACCTATGCAGTACATGTGTATAAGCCAGGGCTGGTAGTCTGCTCAGGAAGGAGGCTCTTGCTGGCTCCCTTAAGGTTCTCAGTTTGCTTATCTGTAGTTACAGAAGTTGCATCCTTATATGATAAATTTGGTAGAACAGTGTTAATTCTTTTCATATCTAATGTTTAAATTCTCATATATTCTGATTAATATGAGAGCTTGAATTCTGTAACCACATTTTTATAAGGAATCTTACACCAAGCCAGTTCTGGAAGAAGCTGGCTGTCAGGGTTCCATGAAGGTACTGACTGAACATGTTTTTTAACACTAGAAATGCCATTTGTGGTCAGTGTTCTAACCTTATGTTATTGACAAAGCCTATGCTCGATGCTTTGTTTAATGCAGTCTGGGCTTGAAAGGACAGAGAAAGCAGCTTCTTTAAATTCTCACAAAAAGACTAATTTGAGTAAGAAAATAAACTTTATCACCAAAGCAAAATTACTTCAGCTCCCTTGGTCTGCACTTCTCATAATAACCTTTCTTAGTAAGTATTTAATGTCACAAAATTATCCTGGTGACAGTGAGTTTTTAAATTAACTGTGTTTGCAGAAAATCTTGCCAAGGGCGACTGCTGATTTTGTGTAATTAAAGAAATTGGAATTCCTTTATGTTATAGCTTTCTGCAGTGCACCCTGAGTGGATTTATCTTAGAAAATGGGTAATACTTAGATTTTACTGCTACAGTAGACAAACTGTGTTAGTGAGGCAGATACTGCTGCCTTTCTCTGCTGTCTGAAGCTGCTTCTTTTGTCATCTGAAACAATTGCTCTTTTAAAAAAATGCTTTAGACAGGCACTTGCCTCTGTTCTTGTTTTTGCACCAGTACCACTTGGATCAAAACCTAGGAAAATAAGGAGGTGCTTATAATGCAGGCAGAGTCCTGCCTGCTGCACTGATATTTGGAGCACAAAATTGGAATCTGAGACTAAAACATGGTAATGACCTGGAAAAAAAAAAAATGAAGGTGAGTTTTAGGTAGCTTACACATGAAGAAAACTATAGGAATATGTATAACTAATACAGTATTACTGCAGTTTCCAGACAGTTGGAATAGTCTGGTTTTAGTGTGGTTATTTTAGAGCCCAGTTCTTCAGGGAATTAATAAAGAGCCTGTTCTCTGTTTTGTGTGCTGTGAAATGACAAATCTCAGTGAGCATGGCTGAGCATTTCAACACTGCAAATTCAAGGAGTTACTATCAAAAGCATATCCTTTGCGGCCTGTCCTAATTATCTTGCATTTTCTTTTAAAGTGATAAAATAATTTGATTTAGTATTTTCACAGCAGTTTTAGCCATCAAAACGCCTTATGAATACAAACACATTATAGTCAAGTTGTTGATAATGAAACTTCAAACTGAAGTGGGAGAGATGCTGGCTGTTAATGCAGCTTGAAGACATAAATTTAAGTGGTAGGAGGAAAACTGGAGCTCACATTTTTGCAAAAGTCTCATCACTGGCCGACTTCTTAAGTTATGTGCTAAAGCTATTTTATTTGACAGTTTTATGTTTGAATTGTAGTACTTTCCTCATCATTAACTCTGCCAGAATTTGAGTTCTTCCCACCCCTGTTCCATGCCTAAAAACTTGAGGGTCTTTATCCTAGTCTGTATGGATGCTGTGGGACACAGGGAAGGAAACTACCACGTGGAAGAGCCTGTTGACTTCCTTGAGATGCTGTAAGATGACTTGATTCTGAAGGCTTATCTTGTTAATGCATTGCAAGATTTCTGGCTGGGTACTGAGGTTCTCCAGAGATATGAATGTTTAATATACCTTTGGGAGATGGGTAATGAGTAGCATGCTTTATTGTTGCTTTAGTGAAAACCTTACAAACATACAGGCAGAATTGTAAAGGAGGGAGGAGAGATGCTTTACGCTTCTACTTTGGCAAATACATCCTTGCTTATTTTGTAACAGAACCAGTAGCATACTCAGTGTATTTCTTTGTTAGTGCTAGTATAGACTGATGCCAAGGGAAACCTGAAATATAAAATGAGTTGTAATGCAAGACAGCATTTAGTATTGAGTTGACTTTGAGGGAGACTTCATCCCGAAAATATGTGGAAATGACCTGCAGTGCGAGGCACAATGTATGAAGTGCTCCAAGTCTTCCAGAGATTTCTCAGCCTTACATATAACACAGGAAGATGAATAAGACGAAACTGAGTTAATACATGAGGTATCTCTTACAGCCTATGGAGGTGTTAATATGTGGTTACAAAGTGCTTGAGCTAATATAAAACATGGTTTTGTTAAGGAAAAGGGGTGTTGTTTCACCACCTGGTCCTGCTGCTGCTTTTCTGCTGATAATTTAACCCTCTGCATGCCATTTCATCTCCATAATCCTGCAGGAAACTGCACTCTTTTTGTGGTTATGGTTTTACACATTGAGAGAGGCTCAGCTGGTCTTGTACCCTCCAGCTGAACTTGCCTTTTCTGATATCATCCTGCACATGGACACTGGGAATTTCTTCCATAGCTGGGTAGAAGTGGAGCTATCCTGAGCTAGGTCTGCATGATGGGGAAGAGCAGAGAAAATGAAGACCAATTATTCAGCTTTTTTCCTCAACCCATGCATCTCTTGAGCAATGCCAGAGTGATCTTTGTCTGTGCTTGAAGTCAAGGACCTACCTTAATGTTCCTGCATGCTGCCAAGGCTGTGGGCGTCATGCTTTTGGCGTGCAGAGAGGTGGAACGTGGCTCTAGTCTTGCTGCTTGACTGGCAGGAATGTTACGGTCTTTTGGCATTCTCTTCTCCCTGGGAACCATTCTCAAATGTTTCTTTAGGACAATTGTATTACAGTGAGGATTCGTTAAATCTGAGGCCTTTCTTTTACATAGGGCGCATCCATCAACAGGCACCTATTTCACGTGAGCAGGGGTAGAATATGAGTTGTTGCCACACGCTTTTAAGTCCACAAAATCCACAAAGTCTGCACACTTTAAGTCCACAAAAAGGAAGCAGTGAAAATAAGCCAAAGAAAGTGATTTCTCGCTGCCTGATTTCCTGAGCAACCTTAAGTGCTGGCATTTCTCCTTTACCTTTCTATACCTGCAGCAGGCTTCTCCCTATGCAAACATACGTGGGTATTTCATGTGATTGCTCGAGAAGGGCTTGTGAGCCCATGGAAGGCTTTGGGGTACATGGCTTGCACTGTAATAAGCACTTAATTCCTCTATGGTGTGGCTTGTTTTAGTCCTGTCACAGAGTCCTGACTGGAGATGATTCCAACTGTGTTTTTTACACAGGATGACATCATACTTGGAAATAGTGAGGATTCCTGACACTTTGTTGGAAAGCTATTCCAGTGTGCTAGATGGTGCATAAAGTGCAGTTAGCTGTGACCCAGGAGGTAATGTGGTAGTGTCTCGGCTGTTTGAACTCCTGGGAAATAATGGACCATTTTTCTTATCATTCCTTTCTGGAACAGTGAGTGTCCTGCTTCAAGTATTGTGCCCATTTGACAGGGAGCAGTTTCATCAAAGGGGTATTTGTATAACTCACCTTTTACATCTCATTCATTAGAAATGGCTTCTTTACAAAGATAAGACAAAAGATAAATGCCTTTTTTTTTTTTCCTTTCCGTAAAAATCAGTGCATGTGCATTTACTTTCTGGTTAAGCAAAGGGGGCATGAAAAGTCTGCTTAATAAATGAAACGCACTTCAAAGCTGGATTGGAGTGGCAACAGAGAACGTGTTTGAAAAGCCTGTGTTCTGGCCAGGTTATTAAACTGAGATTTGCAGTGGCTAAATCTTGCATAGCTGAGTGTGGAGGCAACTGGAAACATCACTAGGTGGGGTGGGAAATACCAGCCACGCTGTTTCCACACTGTGCCTGTGCTAGTGTTGAAGCCCAAACTTTCTGATGCTGTTCATGTGCTGAACCTCTCGCAGTCTATACAGGCTCCTGGGAGAAGCTGGATTGCGATATTGTCCCAGCAGCTTTTTTGCTGTTCTGCAGGCACAGATCCTTTGGAGTGGTGTAGTGTGCATTTGAGCCTCATCTTTTGGCAACATCAGCTTTTACAGGCTCACTTCCCCCTATAACTGAGGGTTTGTGTTATTTGACAGGGTGATTCCCTCTTGTTTTCAGTAAGCAAGCTGGTAAGAGGTTGTAAAGAGGAGGAGGACAGGAGCTGGCTGCTCTCTTGTGATTATGGCAGTTGCAGTGTGGAAGCTACAGGCTTATGCTGACAGTGGTGAGATTGTAGCATTGACTGAAACTTGAGCAAGTGATATGGGGCAGTAGTTGGTAATAGGAAATAGAAGGTCATGCTAGATCTGTGTAGGGATTGGTAATGCAGCAAGTCCAGAAGACAACAAACATCCTGAATGAGGATTCTGATGACCTGTATTAGAGGAGCTATTTTCTTTTAGTGGTTTGGAACAAGCAAGATAATAAAACTTTCTGTAAACTATGGACCACTTCACATAAAGCAACTTTACAAAGGAAAGTTAAAAAGTATACTGTCATACAGTGATAAACAGCCTTCCTTACCTTCAGGCCTTCACCGTGGCTACACTGTGTGATACAGAGAGCTAGAGTACGCAAGGTGGTTTGAGCCTAAGCATTCCTTAGATGTCCCATACCCCCACTGTGGGCTGGGTACCTATCTGCACAAGACGTACTAGGAGGATTTAGCATTAGCAAGTGGAATATGTATCCAGCCTATTTCAAGGGTCGGTGGTGTGGTACTGTGTGCTACGTGGCTGATGTGTGGCCGAATTATGTTCATGCAGACGCAAGAACCTCCATCAAAGGTTCCTCTGTCTCACTATTGCCTGGTATTCTGATGAGGAAGGTGGACTTTCCAGTGTCATTCTGAGACTCTTAACTCTTCTGACTTAAAGTTCCTGCTGTACAGGTGTTGAGAGTGGAGGAAGAGACCATGTTCACACTCTTTTGGGGCTGGGTGGCAGCTAGTGTTAGGTATAACTAGGTTAAGTGTTTGATTTTAATCTTTGTAATGACAGATCTTTTGTGTTATATGGTGTCTGTTATTTTCTCTTACTTAACTATTATCCTTGGGTTTTTTCCCCTTTAGATGAGGGCTATTACCAAGGTGGAAAGTTTCAGTTTGAAACTGAAGTTCCTGATGCCTACAATATGGTGGTAAGTATTTGTCATTAAGCTAATAGTTGTCAGTTTAGATTTCCTTTCCAGATAATAGGACTTCAGAGGGAACTTGGTGTTGCCACTAAGCAAGCATCTTCTATCTGCTACTAAAATATCATGGGCTGTAGAAAAATCTTGGTTGGCTAGAGTTTTCTGGGGGTCATCTGAATTCCTGCTTAAAGCTGGGGTAGTCTAAAAGTTGGATTTGGTCGCTTAAGGCATGGGAAAGTTGGCATTTCAAAATCTCTTAGGATGGAGGCTTCACTGCCTCTCTGAGCCTCTGTTTCAATGTTGAACTACTTTTGTTGTGATTTTTTTTTTTTGTGTAATAATTTATGTTTTCTCAGCTTGTCTGTGGCCTCTTAACCAATTACTGTGTATCTCTAAGAAGAGCCCAGTTCCATCTCCTAGTAGAGCTGTAGACAGCAGTAGGGTCCCCACCTTCAGCCTTCTCTTCTGCAGGCTGAACAAATCCAGGACCCTCAACTCCTTGTGCTATGTGTGCTCTGATCTTATCTGATCTTGGCGGCTGTTTGCTGGGCTCACTCCAGTTTGTCCATATATCTGCTGCTGGGGAGTTCAAAATAGGACACAGTGATTCCAGATGCAGTGTTGTGAGTCCAGGGAGTGGGGGTAGTGTTTTTTCTGGCTATTCTTTTGCAGTCCAGTGTTTGCAGCCAAGCAGCCTTGAGGCTTTTATTGCCTCGATATTATATGCCTTAAAGAATAATTACTGGTAACTCTTGGCAGAAACTGCTTGGGAGCACAGATGAAACAGGACCTGAGAGTCTCCCTTGTGGCTGAGGTGCCACTTTCATGTGTTCTCTCTTGTTAATTGTTCTTGAGATCTTAATGATTCTTCTCACAAAAATTGGCATATCTAAGAGAAAAGGATGCAATAAGTGAACAGAGACCTCTTTGTGGCCTTCAGAATGGTGGTTTATATTCTGGTACTGGATTTGGGTGCTTAATTGCTCCTGAGAGCATGCAGCGGAGGCCTTGGAAAGCACAGATGTGGTGAGAAGTGGCCTCCTAAAGCTCTGCCAGTTCTACTGGTTGTCTCCCAGGCTGTCTAGTTAAATATCTTTGCAAAGTAACAGTGTCAATGGTTATTAAATGAACAGCTTTTCAGAAGACCTACATATGATTGTGGTGTCTTTTGTAGGTAAATAGAAAGCTCCAGACAGCTTGGCCTTTTCAGGCATGAGAAGTGTTGGCATTTCACTATTGTACTTTACCTTGCAAGGGGGGGGAGATGCAATTATGGTAAAAATAACTTCAGATGTTATTTTCCCAGTTTTGCTGTAAAAAGAACAAGGTTGACTCCAAAAATGGAAAGCAATTGAGGCCCACATTTGGTTGTCCTGATAGTTTGATACTGAAAGAAACTTGATTCATTGGTTTCAGTATTTGCAGTTAGGTATATGAATTGCGGGAAGAAGGAAGCCTCATTTTCTTCAATTTGAGAAATTTTGATAATTTTTCTTGATTTTTTTTTTTTTTTGTTGTTGTTGTTATTGTTGTGGTGGTGTTTTTTTTTATAACTTTTTCCCATGCTTTTGCTTTCTTTTGCTGTTGATAGTTCTGAGCTCTTCTTTCAAAGAGGCTGAAGAGAATGTATAGGGGAGGACAATGGAGACCTTTGGCTTGTTTTCACATGTACCACACTGAAATTCAGCATTATGTATAAGTAGTAGTGGCAGTTTTAGCATTGTTTATATACAAATGAGAAGGAGGTGCAGTGATCTGGAATTTAGTTGCTTGTATTCCCAGACTGAACTTGGAGAATGGCTCATTAAGACTGCTAGCAGAGTAGAAAGGTTATGTTTCTAGAAGCAGAGGACTTAGATTTTTGTTACAGAAGATGACTTCATAAGTTTCCTAATGTTCCTTTATAGTCTATGAATAGATACTTTTGACAAGGACGTTTAGGGATGGGACAAGGGGGAATGACTTTAACCTGACAGGAGACTGAGATGAGCTCTTAGGCAGAAGTTCTTCCCTGTGAGGGTGGTGAGGCACTGGCACAGGGTGCCCAGAGAAGCTGTGGCTGCCCCATCCCTGGCAGTGTTCATGGCCAGGTTGGACAGGGCTTGGAGCAACCTGGTCTAGGGGAGGGTGTCCCTGCACGGCAGGGGGTTGAAACTGGATGAGCTTTAAGGTCACTTCCAACCCAAGCCAGTCTGAAATTCTATGGAGCGTGCACTATAGCTTATAAAAAGCTCATGTATGCAAAGAGCAGCAGCATTTCTGAAACAGCTTTGAATTTTACTCTCCTTTCATAGTAATATTGGTCAAGGATTATCTGCTCAAGCTGTTTTGGCTTTGTTTTGGTTTTAAAGTGTTTAGGATACTGGCTGTCATTATTTATATACTTCTCTCAGTACAGGTAGCTGTGTTAGTGTTTACATTGTATGGTTTGGGTTGTGCGTTTTTTAAGTTCCCCTTAACATCACCAAAGTATTTCACACTACAATACAGGCCACCCACACTTGTCACACTATAAATACAAAGGTGGTTGTTTAAGGCTGATTAACTACATCCTTGTTCTAACTTGACTAAATTGTTCCATCACATACCTGAGAAACATGGCCATCAGTATAAAGGGAGAAACCCTTTCATGTTCTTTGCTGTCATCCTCAGTAATAGCAGTTTAATCACTGTGGCAATGTTGGGCACAGGGGAATATACACAATATAGACTCGTTATAATTTCCTAAACTTTTATGTTGAAGATGTTTACCTAAACAACCCTGCTGCAGGAAAGTGTGATGTGTTAACAGCAGAGCTGAATGTTAATTTGGATCTGGATTTTTTTGATTCTCAATTACTATAATTAAAAAACCTTCTGGCTGTTACAGTTCTCTGCTCAGAAGTTCTGCAGCAAATGGTAATTATATTTTTTAATGCAAAAATAAAAAGCTTGCCTGTGTGTAATTTAGGTTGAAAATTGGATTATGGTTAGGTTATAAACGAAAATGTGTATGTTAACAAATATTGAGATAATTGTGCTGAGGCTGTAGTTTGTTTTCTACCAGGCAGAAGAAAAGTGATGGCAGTGTTCTTAATAGAGCTCTTCAGACCAGCCCATAAGCAAGGCTGGGATATTGCACATCTGCATCCAGCTCTTTGCAGTAGTGCTGAGTGTGTTTATATTGGGAGTAAAAAAGACCAGACAAGACTAGCAAGTTGTCATAGCCCTGCTTCAGAGCCTGCATCTGTTTTCTAGGTAGTCTTTTTAGCCTGCAGTAAAAAACATCTGCATAATTTAAAGTATAGTTTATATAAAGCATCCTTTAATTCCTGTAGCATTCTGCTAGCAAAATCTCATGCTTGGTGCTCCTCTGGAGGAGGATTCTCTTTGCCCTTCTTTCCTCGTAAGCAAGCATTCTGCTTCTGTACTTGAGAAAGAAGTGGATGTTAATAGAACGGTGACGTAGTGGAAAAGTATAAGAATATATAACAAAAGAGGAAGACTTTGTATTGTGGACTGCAGCCGTGATGCATTATTCTGTCCAGGGAATAAAAATATGGGAGGCTTGTTTGGAAAGTAGTGGGTCTGTGAATACAGAGAAGTAATGTATCCTTGGGCTTTAGGTATGACTGACTAGGATGTACACCAGTGTTTGGTACCTGGGCAATAAACTTTCTTAGAGCAAAGATTCAAGAGCATAAAATGTAGGAGAGATGCTTTGGAGCAAGCACTGCTGTGAAGTGCTGCTTCTTGCCTGTGAACAGAGTGTGTTCAGCTGGTTAGGGCTTAATCAGACTTCTGTACATTGAGCTGCTATACTGAAAATTAGAAATGTTTATGATTATCTATAAAGCAATAAGATGTAATAAGGGTTCTTCCACTATATCCATAATTAAGTGAGCCTATTTAGACTGTTGGAGAGGTGGATTGTTTTAGAAGCATCTGAGCTTGAGAACTGGAAAGAGATCCTGCTTTTAATCAGGTGTTGGAGGCACAAAGATGGTTCAGGTAGATTTGTGCTACAATGCTAGCAGTAATTCGTCACCCCACTGATTCCTCATTGATTCCGGACTGGTCTCTGCTTGCATATCCATACATGCATGAAATGGCCCTTAATACATTGCATACTTTCTAAATGTGCTGTTCTTTGTATCATTAACAGGTGTAACAGTGAAGGAAGGACTTCTTTAACAATGTAATATATTATTTACCAGATAGCCTCTGGACTGTTTTCTTTGGTGGTAGGATATTGTGTCAGAACAGAAAGCAGCTGGTATTGATACAGATGTTGCAGAGGGATCATGAGAAGAAAACTAGAGCAGGGTTAGCTAATTCTGTAGTGTGTTCTCAAACCCACCATGCCATTGGAAGTGTTAAAATCTGTTGGTAAACCTGTCAGTTGGCATTTAAAGTATTATACTTGTTAGGCTGCACATCCGTGAGCTTTTCTGTAAATCAAACAGAAGTTTGTAAGTGTTTGTGCTTACAAAGCCTGCTGGGAATGTTGCTGTCCATAAAGATAGGAAGCTGTGAAACAGCAAGCAAAACATTTAATGTTGTACGCAGCAAATGCCTTTAGCACTGAGTATTGTTGTGTGACCTCTGCATCCACAGCATCTGTTCCAAAGCACTGCTTTTTTGGTTGAGCAGCTGCCTGGAAATAGAGGTCAGTGGGAGATGGGAGCAAATGTTAAATAATAATAATGAAATAAATCCAGTGACCAAGGGATTGATTTTTCAGAAACAAACTCCTTTTCTGCCTTGAGTTACAGCTGATGAAATAACGGATGCTACAAGACTAGGGACTTGGTGCTTTAAGGAACCTGATGAATGGTACAAATCTGGTTTAATGTTCACATAAAACTAAACTGCCTGCCACAGCAAGTCAGGCCTTGTTTGCAGCTTCTATGGCTTTGACATACCATTTTGTAAGAGTAGACAGAGACTCTCCAGTTTACTAATATTTTTATGCCTGAGGTGCTTTAGGCAGTGGTCAATAGCCAGGAGTTTTGACAGCAGAGCTG